TCTGAGACTAAATCTGTATGGACCACCTTATTTTTCTCCAGCAGAAGCAGCTGGTGGATTTGAATGTCCAGCCTAACAGCAGCCAAACACCTAATCCACAAGGGCTCCCTTTGTCTTACTTCCTTAGTGCCACTATAACAGAAATACAAAAAGTGGGTGACTTTAACCAATGGACTTCCCCCGCCACCACCCGCCCCCCCCCTTTTTTTTTTTTTACATTGTAGACTGCAAGTTTGAATTCAGGGCACCAGTTCTACAGGAAGGCTTTCAATGTCCACTTTGGGGGAAATTCTTGTTTCTTCCAGCTTCTCTTCTTTGGTTATTTCCATTTGGCAATCCACCCTCCCCCTAACTTGATTTTTTGCCTAATCTGCTCTTTTTATATTTCAGATGTGGTAGATTTCAGATTGAAAATACAACCTACATTGATTTGGCCCCATTCGTAAAGCAAAGCGAACTCTAATCCCTCATGGGGTCACATTCATACATACAAGGATTAGGATCGATCATGCACACTTTGGAGGAAGACAATTCAATTCATAACACCTTTGTTTTTTTCATTTTCCCCCAAATTCTCCCACTATTTTCCACTGTCCTGTTTCCATTCCCTTTATCAAGTCATACTGTCAGAACTCATCATCTCATAACTCTTGCCTTGTCATGGACTCCTCATTGCTCACTCTATCTTCTATTCTATAATTCTTCCTACCTAACATCACTCTACTCATCATTTTAGGATATAGCTGTGAGCCTGTGATTTTCGTGGATTAAAACACATACACAAGCATTACCACAACTCCGACTCACAGTGACACTGCAGGGCAGAGTACAGCTGCTCTGTAGGGTTTCAGAGACCGTAAATCTGTATGGGAGTCAAAAGCCCATCCTTCTCCAACAGAGCAGATGATGAGTTTGAATTGCTAACCTTTTGGTTAATAGCCCAACATGTATGCCACTAGGCCACTAGGGCTGCTACATAAGCAAGTTTAATTACCCATATCTAACATCTTCAGTTAATCCTTCCATTAATCCAACAAGGTTTAATGAATGAGCAAGGTACTGGGAATGTCAAATCAAGGATGAGATCAAGTTGAGGAGGGGGGAAGTGAAAATGAGATTCCGAATACGATGAATATCTTGCATGCATTATGTGCTAATACAAGATTAAGAAAGTGTCCACAAGTGTCTCTTGTGCCAAAGGAACAAAATAGCTCATATCAAGATGACTGTCAAAACAGAACACTTACAACCCAGTTTCATATCTTTTACTTTGGTCTCTAACTGGTAACTAGACTGGGACTTTAGATCTCAAAGAAAGAAAGGAATCTTTCCCTCAAAGCAGCTAAGTGCCATGTCATGGACATAATAGCCAGTTGTTTCAACTGTTGGCCATCTTGAGTGTGTAAGGGTAGACCTGCACTCATGGGCTGTTTTCTCACTCATAGAGTTTTCAGTGGCTGATTTTGGGGGGAGATAGATAGCCAAGCTTTTCTTCCCAGGCACCCGAGTGAACTTGAACCACCAACCTTTTGTTGAGCAGTTGCATACAGCATTAAGCATTTCTACCACTCAGGGATTCCTTGGGCATAACAGGCTTACAAAAACCATTTTGTAAAAAAATATTACTTGCCAGTATTGACTGTACACAATAACACCACGTTTGAAAATGTGAATAAGCATAATTTCTATTAGTTTTCAAAGAAATTTGATAACTGAAAACTTTGTTTTCTCTTCATTGGTGCTTATCAAGGTTTGTGTGAGTGATTCTTCTTCTTTTATACTGCATTGCTTGCATAGCAGTCCATCAACAATGTGAAAGATGATAGCAAATTGATGAGGTCACATTCCATCTTATTCAGTTCAGCGAGACTCCCATCTTTGGGACTGGCTTCAGATGATTTTTGGAGGATGAAGCTGTTACTTGTATTCCTGCAGAAACACATACATAAACCATAAGGCATGACCCTTCCCAGTACATTTCTGGATAGCTTATTGTCTTGGGAGAATTCTCTACCTTTTGGAGATATAAGCGAGTAGATTTGTGCATAGGAAGAACACTAGTATTCCAAAGGATGGCCAAAATGTTTGGCACACAAATTGTGCTGCTCTTAAAAACAACATTCCTTCAAGCAAACCATTGGGCCAAGCCAGTTTCATTCTTACACACAAATGATAGCATGACGTTTCTTCGGGTGGACTTCACTACCATCTCACATCTTAATTCTTTTAGTCATAGTTGCGTTACAACGATCCTTTAGTATATATTACTACGATTGCTATACATACTGAATCATGTAAAGGACTGGTGCTTATTTTTAAAGATCTCAAATATGACAGTTCTCCAGGGATAACCAAACATGAAAATGTGTCCATCTCTGAGCCTGATGCAACTGGCCCACAGATATTTTTTGAAGCATTTTTATAGGAGTGCTGGTGGCTCTCACTAGCCTACTTACTTAGAGTTTTCTTAATGCATTTTTCATTCAAAATATTTATTTAACATTTAAGTACTTGGCACCCATCCGTGAACATACCTCGATAAAAGTGTCTGTCTTAATTGGACTTGGGGTCTGTTCCCCAGGACCAAGTGTCTTTCCATTGGTGATGGTTTATGGGTAATGGTGTCAGTTGGAACTATGTGAAACTACTGAACAAGTGTTTGAACTGGCAACTCCTTTTATTATGACCTCTGCCTGAAGCCCCTGCTCCCTTTGTCTTCCTTTGGCTACTTACTTCTCATTATTCAGGTGTGGGCTCAAAAGTTCACCTCCCTTAGCCCCTCCTTTTGCTCTCCTCACCCAATGCTACCAACTCTCACAGCAGTCATGAGTCAGAAGACTGTTCAGTGAACTCCGGAAGACATGATTACCGGTCACTGGTTAATTTGTGTTCTAATGTATTTTCTTCTCCATCACTAGTATGTAATCATCATGAGAGCAAGTAAGTATGGCATCTTCATTGCTGAATATTCAGTGGCTCTCACAGTCTCTGACACACATGTTGAGTAAGTGGATAAGCCAGGGTATCGCTACAATTCTCATAACAGCATTGTCAAGAGAAATACAATGTAGGCCCCAGATGTTATCTGAAAATTTTCAGGAGGCAAATTAAAAATAAAACATGTCAGACTAATTGTAGTAATATAGTTTACTTAGCCCGCTGTGTCTAAAATAGAATTATTTGAGCCAACAAGCCATGTAATAAATTGAACAAGGTCGTGTTCATTCCCTTTTGCTCTACTTTCTCTTCAAAATCTGTGGTGTGATTTACTTGATTTACACTTAAATTTCATAGTGGAGAAAAGTAGATTTGCATACACAAACTGTTCTAGCAAATTTAAAAGTTTCCTAATAACTGAAGCCAGGATTGTTTTTAATGTTTAAGTAAAATTAAAAATTCAGTTTCTCAGTAACTCCAGTCACACGCCAAGTGTTCATGAACTACATACAAGAAGACAATATGCTTAATTTCAATGTGTGGCTGTGTGAAAATTATCAGAACATCTGCCCTATGCACTCTGGTACTGAACATAACTCATCAACATATATTGCACAAAGGAAAAGACCAATCTTTTAGCACCCTGTGGAAGTTCTCCCTATTTTATGACCATCCGTTTTGTTTACTCACCCCGTGAAAAATTACCTCCCATGGCAAACAGATGGATGGATGTTAACAGGGAGTATGCACAGCCCACAACGTTTGTATCTATGCAACAATTCAGGTTAGAGGAACCTTATTATTGGGCCATTCACACACATGACCATTTAAACTGATTACTGATTACTGTACTTTATCAAGCTTTCACAACCACTCGTTTGCCTTCAGCACAGCAGAGCCTGCCGCAAGCATTTCTGGGAAGCTTTTAGGATATTTAAATGGGTCTGCAAATCAATCATGTGCATGGCTGATGCGGCCCACTGGGTTACACAGTGCAGTGTTACATCATTTTATGCTCTTGGGAATGTTCCCCATATCTCAGAACGCCATCCATAGTAAATGTCATTCTGAGATGGAGGGTAGGGATGGGAGACCATGATTACTTTAGAAAATATATCTCACAGATCAATCACAATGTAAAGGAAGGAGAAAAAAATTGCTAGCTTGTGACCACACCATTTATGATTATTTTTTTAAAACTAAAACGACACTATTTGGAGCTGACCATTTAGAGCTATGATACAGCTCCAGGTACTGAATGAATTTTCTCAATATGGGAATTGGGACCCATTTTAAAGGAAATTTATCTGTGTTCTCATTAAAGAAATTGAAGGAGATCGGTTAAATTATTATTATTGATTTATTCGATAGTCCAGATTCCTGGTAGATGAACTGAATTAGTGTATTTTAATTCATGCAAAATACTTGCAATCAGATATTTAGGTTGCTTTATAATGTCATTATTGTTTTTAAATTACCAGGTAATTCCTGAGATATTACCACCCCAAAATGTCTTTATATATTTTTTTGTTACATCAAAAAGCATACTTTATTTTATAGTGATAGAATTTATGTATCAAATAGCACTATAATAGAATGATTTGATATAGCTTCAAACTTCATACATTTTTATGACTTTCATGTTATCCAGCTCAAAAGAAACACCACATAACTTTGATTTTAATAAGAAGTTCAGAAAGGGGTGTGTGTGTCAAAGTTCATTCCAAGATTATTCTCCTACTTAGACTGAGATAAGTAGATATGAAAATAATAGGAGGAAATTCAATGTACTGAGCATTAAGTGCGCAAAACAGAAATGTTTAAAATATTCTGTTAATGGTTAAAAATAATCTGAACTCTCAGTCCAATGACCATTTGCCAGGGAGAACCAAAGTTGAGAAATTTCTATTAAAAACATGAGTCAGAGGGGAAAATGCAGAGGCTGGTCATGAAGGAAATGTTCTCATTTCATTCCCAATTGGTCCTTCCTAAGATCACATGTTCTGGGCATGTTTAAAAGACAGGTGTCTGGACTCCAGAGAGTCAAACCCCTTCCCCAAAGCAGCAGCTCTCTTCTCACCCAGCAGCACAATCAGACACAGCTCACAAAATGTGTGATGCATTTGTAGGCACCTGGAAACTGGTCTCCAGTGAAAACTTTGATGAGTACATGAAAGAAGTGGGTAAGAAAATGCCTTGTGGGGTGACTGAATGTATCACTTTTTCTCTAGGGGAAAAGGGTGTGTGTTTGCCAGATAGGATAATGCTGTTTCTTCTATAGAGAATGTACAAGTTTTAGGTGAGAACCATGTGTTTCTAGAAACATTCTGGATCAAAGCCAGGACGAATGCTTCCTAAAGGTAAAATGGTCTTAAAAAGGGTTTAAACAGAATTGTTATGCTCTGTACAAATGGCAAGTGTTTAATTGCTACACTTGTTTTCCTTGGTTTATGTGGCCCTTTACCTGTTGTTCTTTAATTCTCTCTTGCAATGAGAAAAGCAATTATATGGATGTAAAAGGAGTATTGATTTCATAGGATGCACTCCTGTTCATTTGAGACGGAAACATTATAATTCTCATCATAACATAGATGCCTTAAAAATGTTGTATTCAATGTATTCTCACCAATGTTTCAAGTTTTAATGTCAATCCAGTAAAATGTATGTATGTTTTATGGGCAACAAAAGCTTCATTCTAGAAAATATGTTTCCTAGAGGACTGACTGATACACTTCTTGAGCTAAAAATTACACGGGATGGCATAGAGTTGTTAGTTCAAGAGGAGAACACTACATACAGAAAATCTCCTATTTGAAAGATAGCTTTAAGTTTTTTAGATTGACTTTTCATTGTCTTTGAACGTTCCCCAGATAACCAGAAAAGTAAAGCACGGTGCGGAGATGGGTTCGCACTGGGGCCCTTTCCTGGCCTGAGAGGCCTCTTTCTCCTACCCTTGTACATGAAATAAGATACATTTTCACGAGTTGGGGAGGGATATTTAATTTATACAGTCTTTCCATTGGGGTTTAGATTTAATGACTAGATCTCAAAAGACTTAGAAGTTTCCCCTAGCTTATAAAGTATGTTTTGCATATAGATTACTATTATTTTACTTGTTTGAAGACCAGAGGGAAATCAGAAACGTCAGCAAGACTCAAACCTACCTTTGTAGACTATTAGGTTGTAAGAGTCAGTCAACTAATTAATATGCACCGGTAAGAATACCAGGATTTGAAAACTCTTATTTTTTTTAAAAAACAGACTGTACCCTGAACATTAATCATTAAACTCCTAAAATGAAAAGTACTAATAATAAGACAATTAGATAAACCACAAACTGCTCTAATGGATGAGTGGACAAGCATCGGCTTCATCAAATAAGGACAGAATCAAGGAGTGGGAGAGAATGGTTTTTGCTGTGCCAGACTATCCCAGAAGTACAATATGTTGCTTGACTTCAAGCACAGCATCCAATCACTATGTGGACGTATTCCATATGTCTGATGTTCTGCTTTGTAACAGCACTTGGGGAAGCAACACAATGCCTTCCCACCTGGGGTCCTTTTCAGATGGGGAGCTAAATCAGAGCTGCAGCATTCCCTGATTTGTTCCATCTTTCTCTCCCAGTTTGCAATTATTTTTAATCTTCCATACCCACAGGTAGGCTTTAGTCAAAGAAGTCTAGATGATTTATGTAACAATTCAGCCAATCTCTGACTGCCATAAATGCCACATACCATGCAGCAAGTTACCACTGTCAATGTCCGGTTGTAGATTTTCCACCTGAAGCATTACACAAGAAACATACATTCTTCTCAAAAACAAAGAAAGGCGAATTTTCAATGTAATTGGGAATTTAAGCGTTGGTTTCTAAGCTTATTAACATTGCGATTGCTTACATGTTCAGCTTTTCATAACCAGTGTCCAGCTCTTTTCTATTTCTTATTACTTACTGAGAACAGCCATTCTAAAATAGTATTCATGTGAGAAACATTTTGCCTCCTGGAAAAATTAATCTAAATAAATAAAATTTAAAAATTGGAAAAGAAGCCAGGGAAGTAGATTGATATCAAGCACCATGAAATATGATTCTCATTTACCCCAAATAGATCATCCTTGAACTCAACTCCCCCTCACCCCCCAAAAAAATTCCTGGTGACTGAACCCCATTTGGGTATGGGGTAGACAGCTCCAGCTAAAGTAAGAAGTGGGCTGGCCCTATCGCAAAGGACGTGCTGGACTAGAGGAATCGAATGCCACCACAAGTCCTGTTAAGCATTCTCTTTGACTCTGGACCTCAACAATTTTAGTATCTAAGAAGGCAAAGTTGAAATGCCTTAAGAGGAGTTCATTAATTGGGCAGCATGATCGTGGCCTTTCTAATGGGTTTAGATAAACAGTTACCTTGAGATTATAGTAATTTTTTAATTTTTCAAAACGTATTCCAGAAGGCTTGACCTTTTTATATACTCTTGGTGAAAATTAACAATGGCTCTCATGATGAGTTACACCCAGAACCAGAGAAAGAGATGCTGAAGAAAAAGGGCCCGCACCCATTGGGCGCTAGAGTTTTCCTCTGAGAATTAAACTGACTGCTCATCTCGCAGCAGCTGTTTCACTGAGGTCTTTCAGGGTCTTTCCCCTCCCGGTAAGCACGCATAGACTGTTGGTGTGAGGGTGATGTCGTGTCTGACTTTTTCTTTTCCGATCTGTAGGAGTGGGCTTCGCCACCCGGAAAGTGGCAGGCATGGCCAAGCCCAACCTGATCATCAGTGTGAACGGGGATGTCATCACCATTAAATCAGAAAGCACCTTTAAAAATACCGAGATTTCCTTCAAACTGGGCCAGGAATTTGATGAAATCACTCCAGATGACAGGAAAGTCAAGGTGAGGAACCGAGAAATGGCACAGATTCGGCCTCTAAATGATGGACGCCTGCAAGCTGTCCTTTTGTAATGAAAGAAGGAAATGTCAGAAGTAGTGATCGCTAAGGTCCTGGGCTTCAACCAGGTGGCCTTCCATATGTGGCTGCTGGTTTTTACTTCGTTCTATAAAATTGTCCTTACATTTTGAAAAAATGATCAACATGGTTTATTTATTTGACATACCATATACGGAGAGTCTGAAGTGAATTAAAGTAGCCTAACAATGGAAAAGAATATTTGGGAAAGAGTTGAAGGAGGGGATGAGAAGAAGAAGAAAAACACACACCTATAATGCTACCATCTCAACATAAATGTATTTATTATCTGCGTTATTTTTTCGGTATTCACTTCTGTAAACTCTCGTCATAACATACATTTAAATGGGCAGTCTGCTGTTTTTTATACTGTTTTTTCTTGTTGCAATATATTTTGCAATATATTCCAGTCATTTAAAATGATCAATGGCCATAAAAGATTCCTTTGAACAACGGTTGCCTTTTTACTTTAGTACTTGTCATCACATTCATGTTTGATGAGTTTTTATTATGCCTACAGAGCATCATCAGCTTAGAAGGGGGTGTGCTGGTCCAGGTGCAGAAGTGGGATGGAAAATCAACCACCATTCGGAGAAAACGAGTGGATGACAAAGTGGTCGTGGTGAGCATGACTGCTGCATCGTGCTAATCATTCGTTCATCTAAAGAAACGAGGATGAGTTTTGCTTACATAGATGTCACTCTGATTCTGATTTCGCTCTGGCCGCTCCCTCATGCTTTTAACATTAGAGAATCCCCTGACAGCTCTCAAGCTGTCTCCATCAGTGCACGTACCACGCTGCACTATGCATTTCTGTGTACGATTCTTCCTCGCCCTAAAGACTGTAAGATTCCCTGGGAGGGTGATATTTCTGGATCTTTTTATTTCCCAAACTTGGTGCAAAGGAGGATTGGTGGCATAGTAGGTTAAACAATGGGCTGCTAACTGCAAAGTCAGTGGTTCAAACCCACCATCCACTCTGTGGGAGAAGGATTTAAAGGAAAGGTTTAAGTCTTGGGAATACTATGGGGCAGTTCTCCTCTGTCCTGCAGGGTTTCTGTGAGTCTGAGTGGACTAGACAGCAGGGGTTTGGGTGGTGGGAACTTAATGCTTGATCAGTTATATAGACACCCAGAACATATGTGCGTGTGTTTAATGAATATTACTTCCTTCTCAATGCTGTGGGAGATTAAATGAATTAGTTCATTCTTTAGTCCAATCCCAACGTTGTGGGAGGCTGAATAAATTAGTTCATTGTTTAGTCCGGTGAATGACCAAGAACTTCTTTCCCATCTAGGAATGTGTCATGAAAGGCATCACTTCCACCAGAGTTTACGAGCGAGCATGAGCTACGGGACACGGAGCTGGACTGAAGCTTCCATCAGATTCGACAGCATTCTGTCAGATGTATTGTTCAAACAGATAATGTCGTTTCGACTAATGAGCAAGCAACTAATTTCCCCCCCAAACCGATTTTGTTCAATATGGCAGGGTTGGTTAAATAAACATTTTTTAGATTTAGAAGTTCATGTAATGATTTGTTCATTATGCCAGCTAGCAGCATAATTGAGTGAAGGCTCTGTTCCTGGAAGAAGTAATAAGATCTTTCATAATAATCTGCGGCAGCATAGACGTGAGTAGTCATGCAAGTTCCACTTTCTCATGTAAAGATGAGAATTCGGCCTGGTGCCATTCAGTTGTTTCTGACCTTATAGCAACGCAGCAGTGACAGAGTTGAACAGCCCCATTGGGTTCCCAAGGCTACCATCTTTCAGGAGCAGACTGCCACGTCTTTCTCCGACAGAGCGGCCCACGGGTTTGGACCTATCACCTTTGGGTTAGCTTCCAAGTGCTTAACCATTGTGCCACCGGGGCTCCTTTTGCCACGTAAGGCAGTTTTAAATGTAGTGACCTTGTCCACGTGTAATTGGTCCAAGTGCTTATACTTCACACCTGCCCTGGCCCAGAACATTGAGACAGACATGCATGTTAAAAACCAAACAAAACAAATATTTTTAGGCTCTAATTTTTGGGTGAGCCATGCAATCTCCAAAATCGCTCCAGAATAATATTATGATATTCATACCAGAAAGGAGATGACAGTCTTGTATGTGATCAAAAATTCAAATAGTTTTCAAACTGTTCTTTTTATTACCAGTAGAAGTTTTTATTGAAATCAAGTCTTGAATATATTCTGTAACTTTTTATACAAATAAAATATCCATATAATCCCCCAATATAACACAGACAAAAATGATAATGTTTTGCAGGTTCTATATGTGTTTGCCTTACATTTCGTGGAAGTTATGAAACATCTCCAAAGATCCATGTACATATATTAAAACGTCTAAACTACACACATAGTACAGTAAGCAAAAAACCATCAAAGTATGCTACAGTAGATGCAATTATGATTGTATTATTACCTTTAAAATTAGGCACCAATGATATTCATTTTCTGAATACCTCTTCTGGAGTAGCATAAGCCTTCTCTAAAATTTAATAGATCAACTCACCCACTGACCGTGAAATAAAGACCAGGAGAAATGCTTCTGTAAAGAGTAGAGCCAAGAAAGCTCTGTGGGGGAGGTCTCTAGTCTGTGACTCGTGCAATCATCGTGGGTTTGAATTGACTTGGTCAAAGAAGAAAGAAAGACTCCTACTTAGGGCTCACTGAGAAATTGAATCACTCAAGAGGAAAATATCTTCGTGGCTGATTAAGACAATTATTGGAGAATAGATATTGTATTAGCCTGGGTACTTTAGAGAAAGAAATCCACAGAAACATATATAAGACAGAGTTTTATATAAAGGTTAAGTGCACATCAAGAAAACATCCCAACCCAGTGCTGTCCAAGCCCACAAGTCCAACATTAACCCATATGTCCGACACCAATCCACAAAGTCCTCCTCCATCTCACAAAACACATGCAATGATGCCGACTGCAGGAGGAAAGCCGAATCAGTGAATGTGTAAGCATCTGAGCACTGGCAGGGGTCTCCACACGGCTGTTCCAGCACCTAGGGCTGCATCAGAGTAGGTCCATGTGGCTTCTCCTAGGAGACGTCTTGCAGGAAGCGAGCCTTGCCAGTTGAAGCAGGGAACTGGCTAAGGCAGCTGCACCCTGGTCCGACCATCACAAAGCAAGGGACATGAGAACTAGAAAGGTGAGGCTTACTGAGCCATTTATCTCCACCTGCCCCTTCAATTAGCCCCACATGTGTTTATTGGCCAGGTTGGCACAATAAACTTTAAGTCAGATATGTAAGGACTTAACTCAGATATGTGCTAAGGACTTCAAACCAAAACCAAAACTTCAAACCATTGGGTCAATGCTAACTCATAGAGACCCCCTATGGCTTTCTGAGATTGTAACTGTTTATGGGAGTAGAAAATCCAGTGTGTCTCCTGCGGGACTGCTGGTGGTTTCGAACTGGGATTTCAGCCCCGTCTGTAACCACTACACTACCGAGTCCGTGTTTATGAATTTGTACTCAACTATGGATGAATCTATTCATCCACTTTTACCTATCTAAATCAGAACAGATATAAAGTTTAGATGTAGTCTAACAAGCAAAAAATACCAAGCAGCAGGGAAGAAAACAAAAACAAACGTCTGTTAAGAACTCTGCTAAAACAAGGATTGTGTCACATTTGTAGCTGTACCACTCCAAGTCTAGGACGAGTAGCTGAGTCAAGGCTTAGTAAACGTTCTTGAATGAGTGATAAACCCTCTCCTTTGTGCTATGAGAAGCACAGAAAGGATGCGAGCTCCGGCTCATGCCTTCATTACAGTGAATAATAGGCTTGGGCAGTCATATCATCTGGGAAAAATTGCTCTAGTAGCTCTTCCTACTCCATCGTCTTGCTAGTCCTCAATCCACAGAGCATTGTACCCCTTCTGTACATGATATCAGAGCAATGTGTGCATTCTCCCAATAACCCGAAATAGTCTAACGGTTTGGTTTTCATCTTTTTCACTCACCAGGTTATAATGCGTCTACATGCACCCCCACTATCTGTCATTGCACCTGAGGCACAATAATCATTCAAAATTTGCATTGGAGTGAATAAAGATACAATGTAAGGAATGAATAAAGACAATAGGGAGGAAAGGTCATGATTTAGGCATGAAATTGTGTAGTATGCACTATTGATGCCGGAGTCTTAAGGGGGTTTCAAAGTTGAGTACGTATGTGAACTGTGCTATAAGGATTAACTGTGGAGTTATCTGACCATTGTAACAAAGTAATAGAAGTTAACATTACCAGCAATTCGGGGAATCAGTGTCACGTGCCTTCTGATATAACACAATGAAAAGAGCACAGCATCACTTGTTTGGCATTATTGCCCAAAAATGTATACTATCAGGAAGAAATGTCATACAGCCATAGCCATAGGATATTCCAGTAAGGACTGGTGGCTGTATATTCTTCCAGTTGTCAAAGTCATGAAAGACAAGGAAAGGCTAAAGGTCTGCTCCCAACCTCTTCTTTTTGTTTTCCTAACCCTAGATCTTTGCACACCTCATTAGAATGTTTTACTTTGTCTTCTCTAGCTACCCTTTGAAATTTTCTGTTCAGTTCCTTATCCTTCCATTTTCCCTTAGCTTCTCTTCTAAACAGAGCACATTTCAGAGTCTCTTCTGACAGCCGTGCTGATTTTTCTTTCCTTCCTGTTTTCAATGACCTTTCGCTTTCTTCATGGGTGGTGTTCTTGATGTCATCCCACAGCTCAGCAGATCTTCTGCCATTAGTGTTCAATGGGTCAAATCTCTTCCTGAGACATTCTCAAAATTCAAGGTCATATTTGGACTCTTGTGGACTTGTTTTCATTTTCTTTAGCTTTATCCTGAACTTCCATATGAGTAATTGATGGTCTATTTCACAGTTGACCCCGGGCCTCATTTTATTTGCTGACATTGAGCTTCTCCATAATTCTTTTCCACAGATATAGTCAAGTTTATTTTTGTGTATTCCATTTGGGGATGTCCATGTACTGTGTGGTTGAAAAAGGTATTGGTAATGATGTTGTTGGTCTCGCAAAATTCTGTCATTTGATCTTTCGCTCCATTTCTATTCCCATGACCATATTTTTTAAGTACTCTTCCTTCGTCTTTGTTTCCAACTTTTGCATTCCAATCAGCAATAATTATCAGTGCACCTTGATTTCATATTTGATCAATTTCAAACTGAGACATTGATAGAATCCTTCAATTTCTTCATCACTAGCTGTAGTGGTTGGGATTTCCCTGTATGCAGGTAGACATTATCCTATCGCAGTCAGCATTGTACTGCAGGATAAATCTCGAAATGGCCTTTTGATGATGGATGTGACACTATTCCTCTTGAATCTGTCTTTCCAGGCATAGTAAACCATAGGATTATATGATCAATGGTCAATATCAGTCCATCTTAACTGATTAAAGCCAAGGGTATTTATCTTTATGTGTTCCACTTCATTTCTGGCGACTTCCGATGTTCCTAGGTTCATACTTTGTGCATCACAGGCTTCAGCTATGAATCGATGTTTGCAGCTGTTTCTTCTCATTTAGAGTCATGTTCCATCAGCAAATGAGGGCCCTCGAGGTTTTGATTCATTCACGTCAATATGGTCCACTCTCCTTGGAGAAGGCACCTCTTCCCAGATCATATTTTATGTCTTTTGACCTGAGGGTCTCATCTTCTGGCACGGTATCTGACCATGTTCTGCTACCCTTCAGGAGATCTTCAGTAGCTAAATCCCCTGAAGTGGACATCCCATTCCTTCTTTGTAGTGTGTTCTTTGCCTGGAAGGTCTGCTGACACCTGTTCACTTTGGATGACACTTCTGGTCTTTGAAATACCAGTGACAGAGCTTCCAGCATCACAGCAACACACAAGCCACCGAAGCATGACAGACTAACACTCCACCTCATTGAAATTCTTCCTTCTTTTTACAGACCCTGCTCTTTACCAAAGTACATAAGTATGTATGATGAAGTCTCACCATTCTTGCCTCAAAAGAGAACTATAGCCATGCTTCTTCCAAGATAGACCAGTTTGGCCTTTTAGAAGTCCATGGTACTTTCAGTATTCTCCAGGACCACAATTCAAATGCTTTGATTCTTCTTCAATAGTCTTTCCTCAATATCCAGTTTCCACATGCATATGAGGCAATTGTTTGGTGAAGTAAAGGGCATCAAACGAGAAGGATGTCCTCAAGGAGATGGATTGGCACCACGGCTGCAACAATGGGCTCAAGCACAGGAGCAATTGTGAGGTTGGCGCAGGGCTGGGCAGCGTCTTGTTCTGTTGTACGTAAGGTTGTTACAGGGTGGAACTGACTCAATGGCAACTAACAACAACTAATACTTTACCAAGTATGATATCCTTCTCCAGGGACTAATCTCAACAAGTTCAAAGTACAGTTGAGATGAAGTCTCACCTCCCTCACTTCTAAGGAAGATTCTGGCTGTATTTCATTCCAGAGAAATGTGTTTGTTGTTCTGGTAGTTCAGAGTACCTTTGATGCCCACATA